TGGGGGAATGGAACATTTGTAATACTTTCAACAATAAAGATAAATTTAAAAAAAAAAAAGAATTCCATTATATGGATGCACTTTATTCTACTTGGGGAATTTTGTTTCAGTTTTTCACTAGTATAAGTGACAGAATTGATTGAGATTTCTTGTCATGTGTGTCTCTATGTATATCTCTGATATTCGCCTAGGAAAATATATAGATGTAAATTTTTGTGGCTGAAAAGAATGAATACTTTTAAGGTTTTAAAATGTTTTCATGTAATCTTTCAAATTGAAGGATAAGTGCATAGAGAAGTGCACAAATCATAAGAAGTTGATGGATTTTTAAAAGTTAGCATAGCCGTGGTACTAGCATCAGGATCAAGAATGAGAACATTAGCACCCTAGCAGCTTTGCTCAGTGCTTAGATCATTGGCCCCAGGGACTGAAAGGTCCCTGGCTTGACTCTGGCCAAGGGCTCTTACCTTGGCTGGGGGCTCGAACCCCCACCCGGTAGAGTTGCATGTGGGAAGCAGCCAGTCGATGTGTCTCTCTCACATCGATGTTTCTTTCTTTCTCCCTCTCTCTCCCTCTCTCTCTTGCCCTTTCTCTCTCTTCCTCCCCTCCACTCTCTCTGAAAAGCAATGGAAAAAATACCTCGAGTGAGGATTTAAAAAAAAAAGAATTAGAACATTAGCCCAGGAGCCTCTCTCATGCTCCTTCACAGTGGTTAACCCCTTCCCAGCTATTGCCCTTGTCCAAGGATAAGCACTCTTCTCACCTTTAGCATCTATATTGATTTTTACCTGCCACTGAAATTAATATAAGTGGAATCATAGAGCATATGCCCTTGTTTTTTTAATTTTTTAAAAATATGTCTTTATTGATTTCAGAGAGAGGAAGGGAGAGGGAGAGAGAGAAACATCAATGATGAGAGTCATTGGTCGGCTGCCTCCCACACGCCCCCTTCTGGGGATCGAGCCCGCAACCCGGGCATGCGCCCTGACNGAGTCATTGGTCGGCTGCCTCCCACACGCCCCCTTCTGGGGATCGAGCCCGCAACCCGGGCATGCGCCCTGACCGGGAATCGAACCTCGATCTCCTGGATCCTAGGTCAATGCTCAACCACTGAGCCACGCCCGGCTGGGCTATGCCCTTATGTTTGATTTCTCCTATTGAACATTATTTTTATGAGATTTTTCTATGATAGTGCATGTCTCATAATCCTGTTTCTTTCTTCTCTTTACGCTATTCCACTGTGTGGATTTGCCACAGTTTATCCATCGTCCTGTCGGTAGACATTTGGGTTGTGTCTAGTATGAGGCTGTTCTGAATAATGCTGTTATGCTGTACATGTCCTTTAGTTCATATATGTACACATATCTTTAGAATATACTTGGAAGTAGAATGGCTGGTTTAGATGATATGCGGATATTTATTTGGCTTTGCAAATAACACTAATTTTCCAACGTGGCTGTACCAATTCACTCTCGCCAGTGCTGCATAAAAGTTTCACTTGGTCCATGTCCTCATCAAGAGGATATATTTCCAATCTTGTTCCTTTTAACCACTCTGATGGATGT